GAGTCCCAGTGACTGCTGCTCTCTGTCACACACTGACACTGGCTCCTTTAATATCTATGGCAGGTTTGTACAGGATCCTCCTCTGATGAATGGGGCGGGTCGAGGGGGGAAAATGGTCACATGATAAAGAATTAATTTGTTATGTAAAGACTCATTATGCAAACATTATCTCAATCACACACTTTCTGTATGATTCAAAATCCAATTTCACTATGACCTCATTGTAAATGTCTTAACCTGCATCAATAGGTAATAGTATACTGTGGTATCTCAGAACTCAAACTTTTTTTTAGCATTTAAACACAAAATGAACCGGATAAAAGAAGAAGAGCATATACTGTACTGAACACATCTAAGCACATTTATCAAAACAGTAATTTGTAAAGTAAGAAAATTAATGCGTTCAAATAATGTGTCCTTCCCCATCATCCGCTCCTTCCGTGTGCCACGCCCCCTCGTTAAGCCCGCGTGGAATCCCCATGTGATCAGCTGTTTCTGGTTGTTGTCATTAGTCCTGCGTATTTAGTCCGCATTTCAGTTTGTTTTCCAGTCCAGTCATTGTATTGTCCGTCTGCGTTTTGCCTGCCTTACCTGTAATTAAGCCCCGTATTCCCCGATAGCCTGACGTCTGCGCCTTTGTCTCCGTTCCATCCCCGCTCGGCACAACAATAATATTATAATTAAATGTATTAATGGTTTATTATTAATATTAAAATAATTAATACGAAATTTTTTTTTTAAATGTATTTTATTATATAATAATAATTACTTTTACTGTCTATCATTGTCTAAATGTATTTTTACTGTGTAAATATATGTATTCAGCTAGTGTAAACATGCACGATGCTATCACAGCGAATGCGAGGCTGAAACTGAAGCTTTACCCTTTGTTTCCACTGAGAGACCTGCCATGTGACTCATTTCCCCGCGCGTACAACTTATCTTAGGTCGGCGTTCACGGTTCAACTTCTGGAATTCAGATTGAGTTCTAGGTAATTTATTTTCGAACTGGTTGGTTCCACTTTTAAGAAATTTGAGTTGTAATGAGTTCAAGAACTGAGCTACCACTGTATGTCATGAAGAGAGAAGACGACTAATGGAGGGAGTAGTGGGCAGCAACTGCCACCTTGAGGATAATATTTGAACTGCAACCCCAGGCGGTACCTGTAGCTCGTTGTTGTAAATTAGTGCAGCTCGCTCAGTTCAGGGAAGCGTGTGCGTCGGAAGAGCCAGGGTACCCATGGTCATGGAAAACCTGGAAAAGTTTTGTAATTTTGAAATAATTCTTCCAGGCTCTGGATAAGTTTTGGAATTCTTGGATAGAGAGGAAAAGTTTTGGAAATTAGCCTTGTTCATTTTTGTTAGACTTTGTTCATTTTGGAAATATACGAGCAGAAGTCAATAGTTAATTATCTTGGTAAACATCAGTTTCTGGCACTTATACTGCACAGATTTCGCATATTTGAGATCGAATATTGGTATAAATTTTCTTAATAATTCAACACCTATTTGCCATTGGCGAAAGTTGTCCACTGTCTGTGTTTATTTGGTAATTCGTTCTTTTTTCTTTGTGCATTTGAGAATTAATGCATCATTAGCAGACCCAAGATTTCAGGTACTAGATTTTAGATTTTATTTTGTTATTTTTCCTTATACAAATACTGTTCTATCTACTTTAGTTTTACAAACTTGTGGGTTTTGGAACATTTTCTTATGGTACTGGAGAAGTTTTAGAAAAGTCATGGAAATTTAATCTGCCAGAATTGGGGGAACCCTGGGATCTGAGAGATCCAGTGCTGTGAGGGTGAGCAGGGCTGGTAGGAGCTTCATGGCTGCAGGACAGAGGGAGGAGCACTGAGGTAAAGTACACACTGAGTCCCAGTGANCCTTGGGCCTTAACTGCCCAGAACAGGCTCCAGACTTCCCACCACCCTGGAGAAGTGTTTGATTTCCTCCTACAGCCCAAAGACTCGCAGTTCGGTGTCTCTAAACTGCATATGCAGTGTGACTGTGTGTGTGGAGCCTGCATGATCTCCCCATCTCCATTGTCACTGGATTTCCTCCTATAGCCCAAAGACACACGATTAGGTGTCTCTAAACTGCACATGCAGTGTGACTGTGTGTGTGGAGCCTGCATGGTCTCCCCATCTCCATTGTTGTCACGGTTGCGGAGAGGCGAGCTGGAAAGCAGGCGATCGGGAGCCAGGAAGTCGGGTAAACGGGGTTTATTCGAGGAAGACGGGACCGGGGAATTACAACAGGCAACATTAATGACGAGTCTGGGGAAGACGGACACAGACGAGGACTAAATACAAAAGACAAGCCAGGGATAACGAGCCACATGTGAGAACAATCAGGGCGAAACAGGAGGTAATGAGGTGGGCGTGGCACACATTGGGAGCGGACGGAGCAGGGCGTGACAATTGTCACTGGATACTCTGATTTCCTCCTACAGCCCAAAGACTCGCAGTTGGGTGTCTCTAAACTGCACATGCATTGTGACTGTGTGTGTGGAGTCTGCATGGTCTCCCCATCTCCATTGTCATTGGATACTCTGATTTCCTCCTACAGCCCAAAGACATGCGGTTAGGTGTCTCTAAACTGCACATGCAGTGTGACTGTGTGTTTGTGCTTTGTGATGAACAGGCATCATTTGTATCCTTATCCATATTATTATTTATCTCTGTCACTGTTTTGCTTTCACAGTCTGAGCTGCTGTAATCTCCTAATTTCCCCACTGGGACAATTAAATACCATCTGTCATGCCCTGCTCGTTCGATCCTCCTGTGTGCCACGCTCCCTCAATAACCTTGTGTGAAATCCTGATTGTTACCAGCTGTTTCATATTATTTCCATTAGGTCATGTGTATTTCAGTCCGCGTTCGAGTATGTTTTCCCCAGTCCTGTCATTAACGTCCTTCGTCGTTGCTGCCAGTCTACCCCGAATGTGCTGTTTCTCCCCAATAAACCCTGAATCCCTGGCTTTCCGTCTCCCTGCTCTTGCTTCCCTGGATGCGATCACAACAGCATCCAGGGATAGGATGTTATGTTGGTTGTATGATTGTATGTATGCTTTCACAGTTCTGATTCGTCCACCAGCTGTGGAATGGTCTCCCGGCGGATGTGCGGGATTCAGGCACACTCTCGCTTTTCAAGTCTAGAT